TATAGGGTTCCTATGAGACTTAAGACTGGGATTTATACAAGGCATATGGTCTAGTATATACTGGGCACCAATGAAAGTTACCTTCCTTTAGGCTTTTGCTACTAGAAAGCTCAGAACCAAATTGGAATTTGAAAGTACCAGCTTGCATATTTAGATCACTTTTTAATATAATGCAATTACATTTTAATCCAACCTGATCTTGCTCTTGTCTTCATTTATGTGTTCCTGATCTTGATTATTTATTTCTCTTATTACTGTTTTACTGTAGGCACTTTTACTGGCTATGTTCCCAAATTCTCTGCAGAGCTAGATGGATAGAATCAAACTGAGGTCAGGAGAAACGGAACCTTAACATAACTCTGCAAATGCCTATGTGATTGGGGCATGGAGTCTCTCTGAACCTCAGTTTCCCTGTCTGTAGAATGGGGTTAATAAAAAACCTACAAGATATCTTATGATGCACGAATAAAGATTTTTGTCTCCAGCATTTTGCAAAAGGACCTTTGTAAATTATGAAAAACTTGGCAAAAACACTTCTTATATAAAAGACACTACTTTATTCATGCCTCAGAAGGCAATGAATAAAGTAGTGTCTCTGTGTATGTTCTGCTTGTAAGGGACAAGGGTTTAATGATTTCCTTGGAACAGGTGACATCTAAGGAAGGACGAGGTGAAAATAACTGCATGAAGCCGCCATATGCCTATTCCAGACCCTGGCATTAGACATCTTGAGGCCAGGACCCTGTGGCTCCAAGGTGGCACTCCAGTCAGGCTCTTGTCTTTGTTTTAACCTGTTCTTGGAGGCCTGAGTGACACATATACCAGACCACCATCTTCTGTAAAGCCCCCCAGGCCCCAATAAAGATAAGACTCCCTGCTTTCCTTTCTGAGTCTCCCAGACACTCCGTACCTTCACTTTCTCTGCTTTCACCTCCTGCTGACTTGTGCTTGATTTCTAGCCTGTGCACAGCTAGAGACCTTCATGACTGGTCCTCTAGGACCCCCTCTGGGTCCTCAGACCTGGCCTGCCAGCATCACTATCATATAAATTCAACAGGGATTTGTTTTGAAGCACTTTGATTTGGACTGAAATGAACACGGACAAGATGACACCAGGAACAAAAGAGATAAAAAAGAAGATGTAAGCACAGATATAAAAAGATAGCATCAGAAGAAAGACCCGGAAAATTATCCCAGCGAGCGAAAGATTTCAGGGAAAAAAAAAATAATAACAATCAGGTACACAGGGCGATAAGATCAAAATGAGATTACTTAATAAAACCCAGCAATTCTTCAAACTGAAGACAATACACATTGTTTGTCCTTGAAATGTGGCGTGCCCTCCTTTCTCAAGAATGCCGCAGCCCTCCGAAGCCAGGCCCAGGGCTGACAGAGCCCTGTCACCCTTGCAGCCCCGAGGTCATTGTTCCCGTACAAAATCCAGAGGCTTGCCTGAATGGCTGCTGCACAACTTAGCAGTCATTTGGAATAGAAAGCCCCAGAACATCAACGTATGTAGGGAGAAGGGGAGTTTAAATTAGGCAAGAGTCCACCTGTTCAATAATGAAATAATTGCTCAGGGCACATTCTTCTGTAATCTTTTCTGATGTGACATGTATTCTCGGGCTCTGCCTTTCTCAGTGCTTCCTCAACATTTGCAAATCATCTCAGGGCCTCCTAAAGCCGATGCAGAAGCCAGGCAGTCACTTCCCTAATGCCGCGAAAATAGATTCAATTTTACATACATCAGGGTGATTTCAGAAGCAATTTCTACATCTCTAGTGTAAGCATTACTTACATTTTTTTCCCCTCAAATCTCATCCCAGCGGTTCCACAGGGCATTTTAAAAGGTACCTGATGCATTCCAGGGCATTAAAAAGAATCCCCAGAGCATGTTTGTGGCTATAGCCTGAGGACACCAGATGCATAGATAGAGTCCTGAAATATTCAGGGATGCAAACAAATGCAAAATTCCTTAACAATTGAGTATAATGCCAGTTCAATTTTTTCCCCTGTCTTTCTAAAAGCAATATCATTAAAATGCATATACATGTATATCTGTCTATATATGTCTTTGCCTATGTACATATGGATATGTCTGTGTTTGTATGTATAAATCACACATGCATATCACTCATTTGGAAATATTGTCTCTCTTTACACTGAAGATATCTAATTAGATTCTATTGGACAGCTTTCCTCTTCCTCTCCAGCTGGCCAATCTACCTGAGTTGTGGGTGCTTTCTTGTAAGTTTTAGCCCATGGGGAAAACAGTGGTGATGTTTCCCCGTGAAATCCAAGAAACTGGTGTTACCCAGGTTTTCCCTTGAGATCAGAAAGCTCAAGATCAAATACCTATAATTTTGAGGGTATGTATCTATGACTATAATATTTTTGGATTTCAGTCTTCCCAGGGCATTTCTACAAATGGAAAAAAAGATGTGCACAAGAAACTGGCCTATCCAGGAAAGGTTTTGGGTGAATGGGTATCACTTAGCCAGGATGTTCTATCAGCTAGATTCACTGTTGAACTTCCTGGCCCCTGGGCCAAAAGCAGGAGAATCCGTGAGAGATTAAATCAGGCAGAGACTCTCGGGAAGCTCTGGACGGGCTTTTCCTGAAGGAAAAGCCCATTTCCCTGTCAACACCCTGTGTGTTTCTCCTGGCCATCTATGCCACTCTGCCCTTTTCCCAGTCCTGAGGGAAGGTATGAATCCCTGTGATTCATCTGTGTTGAGAAAGGAAAATGCACTGGATTTGTGGGTAGGCAGACTACAAACTTGCTTTGCTCTCTGAGGAAAACGGAAGTTAAATATTTGCTCATGAAATACTCAGTATGCGATGTTAGATTTTGTCTTTAAAGCCATCACACAATCTTAAGAAGGGCGCAGACTCAGCATGGCCAAAGACGGGCAACGGGATAGCATTTGTCTCCTGAAACATCGCAAAAGGGGGGTATACGATGCCACCGAGGTTGCATTTTTGCTGACACGTTAACCTGAATGTGATCACGATGAACAAAATCAGATTAATCTGGATTGTGCCACATCCTATGGGACCACTGGCCTAGACTTTTAAAAGATGTCAGGACCCTGGAAGAAAAAATAAAGGCGGGAGGGCCATTCTAGGTGGAAGGTGATAGAGAGACACGATGACCAAATATAATGTGAGCCCCTTGACTGGACCCTGGACTAAAACAACAACCACAACCACAACAACCACCACAACAACAAACACTTGGGGCCCCTGAGGAAATTCAACTGTAGACCGGTATATCAGATACTGAAATAAGGTTACATTTCTTGGGTGAGATAATTTTATAGCGGTTCTGTTGAAGAGCTGTCCTAGTTCTTAGGAAGCACTTGCTGAATTCTCTGGAGATACAGTGTCATGATGTCTACAAGCTACTTCTAAATGGCTCAGAAAATCATATATATATATATATATATATATATATATATATATGTCTATTATATGTAGAGAGATAGAGATAGAGATATACATACACACAAACACACAAGAGAGAGAGCGTGTGTGAGTAATCAGTGAATCTAGGGACAAGGTATACGAGTATTCATTTTACTATTTTTTCAACCTTTTTATAGGTTTAAAACTAATTTCTTTCCTCAGGCAGCATGTCAATATTTGAAAACGGCTATCGCTCCCCTCAGAGTTCAGGGTTCCTAACCAGTGTGCCTGTAGGAACTGTCTAAATGACTTTTACAAAATCCACATCCCACCTTACCCCTCATCTTCCTCCCCGTCTTCCCTCAGGAGATTTCAATTTAGTGGGTCAGGTGCACAGCCTACATATTTCTTTGAAAACTTTCTCAGGTGGGTTCTGTGTTGGACCTGACGTTAGCAATCATGGGTCTGCATTAGCCTCAGAACCTGGATCCATCAGGAATTAGCTAAGTCACTCTGAGAAGGTCAGCCAATTGCATGGACCTTTGGATGTCTTAATCTACAAAATGGGGCCAATCATACAAAGTATCTTACAGGGTGTGGAGAGGATAAAGATGGTCAATAAGTATTTGTTTCTTTTTTTCCTTCATTTTCTCACGATCCCTCACCACCCCAAATTGACCCTATCTATGTCACTTTTACAAATTACGGTTTCTTCCATTAGTCACTGACGCAGTGTGTGGAGGACATTTGTCTATGCTCATAGTTTTTAGAGTTTCTGAATTTCCCCAATCTGGAGGAAAGGCTGTGGGATCAAGCATTTCTAATAAAACCAGGAAAAAGACTGGCTTAATGAAAAATGAGTTAGCTCATTTTTAGCTCTCTTGAGTCTGACCACCGAGGTAGCTTTGAATGTTGCCAGTCCTGAGGTTCTCCTCTGGACTAGGGTTCGCCCTGAAATCTTAGCCACTTCTATTGGCTTGGGATCCTGTATCCACTCTGCATGAGGGCTCAGAGGCTCTTGACTGAACACCACTTGGAACACTGACTCTAGGTTAGACCTGGCCAGGCTTGGGAGGTCTGGCTTGCAGGTCTGGATGTGTTATTCATCAGCCATGGGACACTGGAGAACTTGCTTCTCTGAGCCTCAATTTCCTAAGCACTTACAACACAAACCATTATAATCCATGATGCACCTACCTTACATAGTTTATATGAAACATTGTTTTGAAAACTGTAAGACACTCAATTCAGTGTGGCATGTTTTTCTCGTTATGGGCATAACCATGTCTTCTTTTTTTAGAAAAACAAACAAACAAACCAACCCCAAAACTGTTAATAGTTTTGTTAACAAGCAGTTAAGAGGTCTGCTCCCATTACCATCTGCTTTGGGGGACAGTCTTAAATCCTTCTTTTCTCTCGAGATGGGCTGCTTCAAGTCTCTGCCAGGGAGAACCTTCATCCTTGGAACATCCCAGGGAAGTATCCTGATCCCATGCCCTATAGCATCTAATCACTGCAAGGGGTCCATAGCAGAGGTACCAGGGTCAAGCTGGACCATGGGCATTCCCTTACACTTAGTTGGCTCAACTTACTGAATCCATTAACGTCCTGAGAGCTAGAGGAGAAGCCTTCATCATTGCGGCTGGTGCTGAGCTTGGTGGTGGGTTTGTCGGCTGAGGCCACAGGTCCCATCTCCCTCTGGGCTCCACTCTGTGTCTCCTTCTGCTTCTTGGCCAGCTTCCTTTGGGACATGTGCAAGGGGAAAAAATCACAGTCAGATGGTTTCAGTTGTATTAAAGGATTGGGAAGACCAGATTGCTCTTCTTTCCCACTCATCATCCTCAACGCCCAAACCTGTTTCATTCTCCAGAAACAGTCATGGTGGGTCTTCCAATGCCGAGGTGGAATAAGTCTAAGGCCTCCTGAAATCATTAATGGCTTTCCTTTACTCAGAAATATGAGACTTATCCTGGCTCATTTCCAACAACAGGTATGTTCTTTACTTGAACTTAAAATGGGAAATCAATGAGACTTGGGTGATGCTTCCCTTGCTCTCCTTCCAAAGGAGGCGGGGAGAGATCAGATGGATCTTTCTGTTCCTAGGGCTCTGAATGAGATTCACATTTCTCAGGGACTAAGATTACAAAATAACACACCAACCAATGGTAGACTGAAGTAGGTTCTGCTGGTTGGTGAAGGGTAAGGCTGGGGGTGAGGGTAGTCAGCCTTGTAGCTCGAAGGAGAAAACTGAAAGGTGAACTGGATGACTAACTATTCCCATAGGAATAAAAGATCCTCAGACCCAGATGGTGTTTATAATAATACTAGCTTAAAGCAGTGGTTCCCAAACTCGGGTGTAAATTAGAATCATTTCAAGAGCTGATAAAAGGACACAGAGGCCCCAGCTCATAAAAGCAGGGTAGAGGTGAGGTCTGTGTGTGGTCACCTAGTTCCCTAGGTCATTCTGACATCATCCACTGGAGGTCAGAATCATTGGCTTTGTCCAGGAAGGCCTGGGTTCATATCCCATCTCTGCTGGCTGCATGACTCTAGCAAATTCTTTAACCTCTTCAAGTTCTGAACTCATCCTCTATGTACGGAGGGAAACAACTGGGCCAACGCCCCAGGGTCATGATGATTAAATGAGAGCAAGTGTGAAACACATCGAGCACAGTTCCAGGCACACAGAGAACATAACATGTGGCAACTGCTCTTCTTGCTTTTATGGCATCCCTACTGGTCCAACCTCATTCCAGGATACCCACCGTTAAATCCCTGGATATCAAGTGGTAGAGATTTTGACACCTTCCGCAGCAGCTGAAGGGTTAAAAAGCTCTTCATATGGATTCCAAATCTAACTCCCTTTAATCTTAACTGATTGTTCTGAGATCTTTAGAAATACAAGAACATGACTAATACCTCTTGCATGTAGCAATTCTTCAAATATTTCTAAAAAAACCAACAGGGTTCCTCTGAGATTTCCCCACACTTCTGATTCTAAATATAGTTATTTTGTTCCTGTGATGTGGAAGGTGATGGGCACATTAAATATCTGGGGGGTAAATTTTCCCAGGTCTGCTGCCCCATTTTGCACAGGTCTTGGCTTCAACTTCAAACTTGATCACTCCTACCTCAACATAAAAACAACAGATCTCTCAGAGAAGTCAAATTCAGCACCGTGTAGGAAATAATTTTCCAAAATGGAGCCTGTCTGGTCACAAAATAGGCAGTTCAAGAGGTAATGATCTCCCTATCAGAGGAGGTATGATACAAAACAATAATCCCAGACCTAGAAGTATTTTTTTATTAAATATTTTATTTATTTGACAGAGAGAGACACAGAAAGAGAGGGAAAACAAGCAGGGGGAGTGGGAGAGGGAGAAGAAGGCTTCTCACCGAGGAGGGAGCCTGATGTGGGGCTCGATCCCAGAACCCTGGGATCATGACCTGAGCTGAAGGCAGATACTTAATGACTGAGCCATCCAGGGACCCCTAGATCTAGAAGTATTTTAGGGGAGTTCATCTAGGATCAGTTCTGGTTTGATAGTATGATAGTAACCCCTTCACATGGTCCATCAACGTAGACACGGACTTCACAGAAAAATAACAGATGGCACACTCAAGAGGGGATAACTTGGGGACAGTTTATGTGTAAAAGGACTACTGCCAAAAGTAAGAAGGGTGAAGGGGAATGCAAGGTCCACTGTAATGACAGGTGAGCTGTTGGCCACCATGTGTCCAGAGGGACAAGCAGAGGAAGCAGTGACCAGAACCCTGAAGGAGAGAGTTGTGAAGACAAGAGAAAACCACCTGCCCAGAAGAAGCAACTCTTTCTCAAGGGATCAGCCAACACCCCCCCAGGGAGGGAGCTAAGGGGCATAAAGACACTGACTACATCCCCCTCACCCCCAAACATTGGCTCTCATTAGCTAAACCCAGCTGGAAGCCGGGGGCATGGAGTCCATGTCGATCTAGCATTGAAAGCAGAGAGCACAGTGGTGAGGCAGAAAAAGTGAATCTGGATCCAGGAAATCCCCACCAACAAAAGAATTTTATCTTCCCAATTTGGGCCACAATTTGAAGACAAATGCAGCCTAAAATGGAATTCTTTCCTTCTTTCCTTCCTACCTTTCCTTCCTTCCTTCTTTCCTTCGCTCCCTCTCTCTCTCACTCTCACTCTCTTTCTCTTTCTTTCTGTCTCCCATTGGCCTGAGGAAAAGAAGGGCCCTCAGGGAAAGGAATGCATCATTTGGTTAGGATGCTTTAGCTATAGGCATTATGTTCCAGTTCAGACAGAAACAAGAAGGAGCAAAGCATTAGACCAGTTGGGCCTTTTCTCACCATCTCCAGGCCATCAGACTGGGTGCAGGGGGAGAACCAGCGAAAGAGAAATGAGTGGGTCTACTACTGATGACATTTCAAAATTTTATTCTTCATTTATTATCAAAAAGGAGTGTGTTTAAAAATGTATATGTGACCTTCTTAATCATAAATTTGAAAAGATATACAGCAGATTCATTGCCTCTCTCTGAGCTCTCCTCACATTGCCCCAGCAGGAAACAAAAGGAAATCCAGTAAGAAAGTTAACTTTCAAACTAGAAGTGAGTGTGTACTAGAGGCTTTGATATTTCTGTAAGGGCAGAACTCCCACCAATCTCATTCCATTAAGGGTAAAATGATATGGAGAGAGTTGTCTCAGGCACAAGTAATTTGTTTCCAAAGGAATAATAATAATAAAACAAAGGTTCTGCTGCATCTATGAAAAATAGGCATTTAACAGAAATGTTTGGGTAGCTCTGAAAACCTGGATGAAAAATGAAAAATCAAGCTTCTCCAAAACATAGATATTTAAGAACTGGACAGCTAACCAAGTTGTAAAAACTGAGGAGGATGGCATGCTTAGTATTTAAGCCCGTGGCTCACAGTGTTTGTGGTGATAATGATACTTTATGGTAATTTAAAAACGTATAGGCAGGTGTTTCGGCAACTGGCAAATACAGCTACAAAGCGGAAATAGAGGGAAAGTATGTAGAAGGAAATAAAACACAAAACGATAGTTTTGGAATCTGTATTCTATCAGAATTCAAAATTTAAGTATTAAAAAACCCTCTTGGCAATACAGGAAAAAAATCATGTATATTCTTATAATCGTGAAGCTTCACTGATTCTCCTCCCTTTTTTTCCTTAAAAGAGGGGGAAATCCAAGCCTCTGAGTAGGGCATGAAAGACCCTCTGCCTATGGCTCTAGGCTTCAACTCAGCCTTATCTTCCACACACACGTCCTCTTGGGAAACACCAACTGCCTATCTTCATCCCCAACAATTCCTCAATATTCTCTATTCCTTAAAGTGTCCCCATTCTTCTCCACAGGCCACCTCCTCTGCATCCCCCAAGGCTCAGCAGTATTCAAATGCCACCTCTCCTTTGAGGTTTCTCTTGCTCCTGTAACTAGATTTGTGGTTTTCTCTTCTTGGTTTACTCATCCACTGTACAAATATTTATGGAGCACCTACATGGACCAGTCTCTGCTAGATGTAAGATCACCATGACAAGAGCCAGACATGACTTTGACCTTCACAGAACACAGACACTCCTGGCAAAGACAGGTGCTAAACAAATAAATACAGAAACAAATATAAAATCATGAAAGTGGGGAGCCTGGGTGGCGTGGGTTAAGCCTCTGCCTTCAGCTCAGGTCATGGTCTCAGGGTCCTGGGATCGAGCCCCACATCGGGCTCTCTGCTTGGCAGGGAGCCTGCTTCCTCCTCTCTCTCTGCCTGCCTCTCTGCCTACTTGTGATCTCTCTCACTCTCTCTGTTAAATAAATAAATAAAATTGTTAAAATATTTTTTTAAATCATGAAAGTGATGAAAGCCAAGGAGAAGAAACACATGGAGCTAGAAACATGCCAACAGGTGATTTGAACCCTCTCAGCAGATTAAGGAAAGCCTTGTCGCCATGTCAGCTAAGCACTTGTCTAGTTGAACTGAAGTGAATTCAACTCTCCCACCCACTAGGGCAAGAACCTCTTGGGTGAAGGGCTTTTGACTTCTTGCACCTACTCCAATTTCTTGCTAAGTGTCTGGCACACAGCCAGTGCTCAATAAATTTGTTGTACAAATTTATATTTAAAAGTCTACAATTTGAAGTGCAGAAAAAATCGCCATGCTACTCTGACTGCAAATTATAACCACTTTAAAAAAAGATACATACAAGGAAAGAGGAAGGAAAACTTGCACAAAATTAGTTTGTGACCTGAAATATTTCTACTTTATGAATATTTTTGGCTGACAACTTAGCATTTTCTTCCGGTGGTTGTCACAGAATTCTTGTGATGTTTGCAGAATTAATGGAATGTTTACAGAAGTTGGAATTTTTTTTCACTTAGAGCCCATGGAATAGCCACAGCTACAGAATTTTTTTTTTTAATCGCATAAAATGGTTACATGATAAATAGAATAGTCGTGTCACTCATGGAATCTTCAGATCCTTCAAGACTCAAGCACTTTTGACTTCTGAAACCTGGGATTTTTTTCTCTAGCTGTTCTGAGATTCTTGCCAACTGGGTCACACAATTTCACCAGCAGGGGGTACCAAACGCTGGTAAAAAGAGAACATGCATGGAAGTGTTTCTATTCCTCTACAGGGACATTTTTAGAGCTGAAGAATGTTTTAAGACCTGGCAATCCAAAGTTTACTCTTTCTGACAGATGGGGACAATGTGATGTGACCATAGCTCTTGGCATTCTT